CCCGGCCAAAGGTCGGATACTTTTCTCACAGGCCTCGAATAGTGCATTCACAGCTAAAAGAATGGAATGTGTTCAGCAGTATCACATCTCAAGTGCCGAGCATTTCAATCTGCAGCCCAGCAAGCTAATCACTAGGTCACATCTGACCCCTTCCCAACCTTAAAATAAAATAATATTAAACCAATAAAGATCAATAAAACATTGCATTTCTTAGCTAAATCAGTGGCTCAAAATGTCTCTGTGAAATGTTTTGATGATTTTTTTTAACTCAGTCTGATTTGTTTTCTTTCTCCTAAAACATTTGTTAACACTCAACACTTTATCACAAATGTTGATGTTTGCAAATGTTAATTTTTATCTGAATAAGTATTACAAGGTTTTTTTTTTTCATGTCTATTCGTCATATAAAAAATATTTCAATCTTTTTAATCAAAGCTTTTTATAGCTGCACCTAGTGGCATAAGTATACCCCTGCAACCCCAGCAATTGAGGGGAGGTCTGAATCAGCCAGAACTGTAACTACAATTATATGGAAATAAATGTAGAGGACCCAATTAATATTTATGTGGTATGGGGACATGTTTTGTAGTTATGCCACTGGTTGACTAGACTATTGTGAAAATAATTATTTTCTATATTTGCTAAGTTTTATTGTAATAGTTAAGAGTGAAAAAAACCCTTGATACTCTTATAATATATTTATTTATTTCAAAACCGTTCTTTCTGTTCTATTAGTATGTTAATATTGAACTCAATATTAAATATTAAGGTTTTCCTTCACCTTTATACAAGTATTGAAAGGATGTTCCATGTGTGTTTTTCGAGATTGGTAAATATAATGTTCTAAAAAATAACAATTTCTTGGAAAAGTCAAGATATTAAATATTTAATTACAGGTTGGAATTAAGCCACTTATGTAATAGTTTTTTATTAAATGAATTTAAAAAAGTTACTTTCTAAACATGAAATTCAGTTACTGCATAAAAATTATGTGGTTAAAATGTTCAATTATTTGTACATAATTCTCTCCATAATATCTGAGTGGTTAATCTTTTTTGATTTTGGTTTTACAATGTAATATTTTTTAATCTTTTTTATGCATAACAATGTATCAATAAAATACTTCATAGATGGATCTAGATTTAAAACATAATTAATCTAGTTTTTGCAATAAGTTTGTGAAATAATGCACATATTCAAGTATTAAATATTTCTTCACTATCCAAAAACTGAAATCATTCTGGAAAAATATGCACAGCTAATGAACAATGAGATACACATACCCGTGTTGAAATCAACTCCAAATTCTTCATCAATATTTCCCTTAACAATACTGTATATCAGCTGGCGACCTTGGGGACTTTCGGCAGCAACAGACAAAATTGGTGATCTAGGTCGTACATTTTCAGGAACAGAAACTTTGTAGAACTGTTTATCAAATGTTGGCATGTTTTTATTGATGACTTTAATTGGCACAGCTACCTCACTATGCAGAGAGACATTCCCTATAAAATAAACATATGCTAAAGCACACTACTATCAAGCCATTCATCAACATAAACTCTACATGTCAATCACTTAATGATAATGTTTTTTTCTATCAACTACAACTAAAACAACAATCTGTAAGTTATGAATCAAACATAATTTTACTTTTCATGTGTGTTTTAATACCTCAAATTACAAAAGAGCTTATGTACTATTCCCAAAGCTTTTCCCTTGTGACTTTTTGAGGTAGCTTTCAGCTTTATATTCATTCATTTATATTACATTTAAAGAAATCCAGAAATGACTGAGAATTTCTTTCAAAGTTTGACTATCAACAAATCTACAAAATGACTGAAGAAAAACAAATTCAAGAATTATTTTGAAAATGAAATGGAAATTCAGGTACGTTTATTTTCTCCCCATTCCCAACCTCTAAAACTGTACTATTAGAAACTATGAACCGCTAGGAATAAGAATACTTAAAATACAAAGAAGAAACATCCTACCATTATCATATGCTGCAACAACAACATTGTATGCAGCTATTTGGGGTTTTAAATGATGCTGTAGCCGAACTTCCCCAGACCTACTGTCAATGCTAAACAAGTCTTTTTCTCCCTTTACAAGCTCATAATGTATGTATCCATTCAAGCCCATGTCCAAGTCAATGGCTTGCACCTGTATGCAAAATAGTGTTAATATTATTATCACTTGATTTTTTTCGTCACAAACACGAAAGCTTCTTCTCGTATTAACTGTCAAATAATATTTTGTCAAAAACTTAAACAAAAGTTCTTCTTGTAACATACAGTACCAGGATATGCTCCATGTGTAAATTGTGACACTTTAACTACATCACTAAACTTCAAGTTTATTTTTTACAATAATATCCTATGTTTATTAAGGTAGCCCATCTAAGCAAAATATTTTAATATTAAATAATTACTGTATTAAAAAAACAGTGCTAACCATTGGTAATTCTGCATATTTATTTCAAATTATTATTTATTTATCTATCTAACTAAAAGCATACTGTCTCATAAGCTTATTTGATCATTAAATGGCACAAAAGTAAATATTTCAAACACTTGTAGTCTTTTACCTTGCGAATTAAATCCCCAGGTTGAGCTTCAATAGGTACCACAGAATAATATGGAAGGTTAACAAAGATTGGGGCATTGTCATTTATGTCTAAAATGGTTATTTCTACAAGCACATGGGCTACACGAGGAATGCCAGTAGCTACACTGCGTGCTTCTACAACAAGTGTATAATGGTTATCTGTCTCCCGATCAAAAGGTCTGCCCATTGTTTCTATCACTCCAGATGTCTTCCCAATTTTAAACATGCCAGAAGGATTCAGGATGCTAAAAGTCACATGCTCATTTAGGCCACTTCCTATAACAGTGACAATAGTAACTCTCAATATATCTGTTGTGTTTTCCACAATTGAAGCCCTGTAAACATTTTCAGAAAATCTTAACCCACTGATCTTAGCCTTCTCCACACTGATTTCAACTTTAGTGCTATTTTCAAACACCCCATCTTTTGCTGCTACAATCATTTTGTACTTGTCTTCCAAATCAACTGGGTCTCTTACAGAGATTTGACCTGTGATCTCATTGATGAAAAACTTAGCACCCCGATTACCAGAAACAATGGCATATTTAATCACAGTTTGAGCATCAGAATCAAGATCAAAAGCTTTGACAGAAGTTACAGCCACACCTTTGTATGTTGGCAAAAGCAAGGTAAATTCATACATTTCTTTTTCAAACTGAGGAGAACAATCATTTACATCCAGAATCTGGATAAAAACTTCAGCAGTTCTTTCAGCACTAAGCTGAGGCCTACCCTTATCTGAAACCTGGACACTGAAATGGAACGATGGTATTTTCTCATGATCCAAGGCCTTAATTATGTGTAAGGAACCTGCAAAATAAATAACATTTTCTAAATATATTATACCAACAAAGAAACCTAATATGCATATTGAAATACAGAAAATGCAGTACGTAGAGTTTGCTGTTGCAAAAAATATTTATGGTATTAGGAATTTGTAATTTTTTTTTCTGGTTGAAAGTATATAATACTTATAAATAGAAAATATTTTCACAAAAAATAAAACCTAAAAAATCCAATTTCAGAAAGTCTCATATGGTTAGCATTTGCCAATTTAAAAATTTCTAATAACATTTATATAATCTGTCAATATAAATAAACACAACAAAAAATTTATGGCAAAAATAAGGAGAAACAATTTACCAATGAACTTACATTAGCTTTAGCAATTCTGAATTTTTATGAAAAAAGAAAAAGTAACGTAATTTTTTTATTCAAGAAATGTAAAATGATAATGGTAACTTTCCAGCATTGATTTACTTGAAGTACATCTACCATACAGTAGTCCAATACAGACAATCTAATGTACATACATTTCAGCATAATTCACACAGATTAGGCTTACATTATATAAAGTAATTCATAATTTTAATTCTCAGAAAATAAAAAAGGTAGTTGTGTCATTAAAACAAAAAATTACATTTGTTAAGAAAACCTAGCTCCTTAACAAATTCCAAAACCAAATTATATTTAAACTTCATGGTTAGGAAAAAAATCCATTTTGAAATGAGTTGGATAACCTACATTAATGCTTCTTTATAAACTGCTATTATAGCAATATTTTGACTGTATTATTAAACAACTGATACATTTCTTTTTTATTCAGGTCACCTTCATTTTTTATTATTGCAAAAATAAATATAAATACTAACCTGAATAAATTATAAGTATGACCAAAATGAGAGCAAACAGAATTTAAGATTTCCAGTTAATTTTTTTTTATTATTATCTTTCCATATAAAAAAAATTACAACATATTTAAAAAGTGAGTAACAATGCATGTTTCATTACATCAACATTTCAACTACATGATACATGAGTAAACAGAAAACAAAATTATCATTTTAAAAGTTTCATATTGTTAGTAATAAGCTTTTCTCAATAAGAGATAGTTAACAAATGTTACAAAACTGTAGCTGTACTATAAAGAGTACAATCATTTTAGCTTATCAACTTCATAACATGAACTGAGCAAAAAGAAGTTTTCTTAACTGTGCTTTTATCACCTCATTAAATGTTTTTCCTGTCAATAAGGGAGTGAAATTTTAAACCTGACCTTATGCACCAAAACCTGAACTTAAACTTTCTAGCTAAAAAAAATGATAATTCATTAACTGGTTTATACTGAAGAAAATATTTTCTTTATACATTCTTTTTTTACACCAAATGTCATGCTCTGATATTTCAATTATTATACTTTTCATTTTCAACTTGCATTAACAATACATATAATGAAGACGGTAGATCTTCCTCAAAGAACATGTGTATTAGTTCTTAGAAATACAGCTTAAAGAACTATTCCAATATTACTTTCACTTAATGTGAGCTATTAATGTGTGGAAGATTAGCCAGTGCTAAGACTTTAACTTCAAGTAAATTGGTGTACTTTCAAGGTATTTTGAACAAGTTTTATGTATCTTCTGATACACAAGTCTACTGCCCGTTAACTTACATCTTCATCTGTGAACAACTGTCTAATGTAAACATTTGTATTTTACTTATAATACTTTTGTGAAATGACATGTATTGTCATAGATATTTTACTTTTCAAACTCATTTTAAAATTTAACTTTTCCTGCTTTAAAAAATGAAAAGTAACACAAGTCTAATTAATGTACTAAAGTGTTTTTAAGCATACTTTTTGTAAAAAAACAACAACAACAACAACAGATGAAAGTTTGACTTTTAATCATGTTGCTTACCTGTGCTAGAATCTATCTGGAAATAGCTTTGTGCCAATTTCTCTACAATCTCATACACCAAGTATGAGTTTAAACCAGAGTCTTCATCCACAGCACTGACTACAAGGGGGACACTTTTATTGGTCAAAATTAAGGTTCCAATCTGTGCTGATTCGCTTATTTCTCCATAATAGGTTGACCTGAGGAATTTTGGAGCATTATCATTTCTGTCAAGTACATGTATTGTTACTACAGTACTAGCATTCATATTAATTAGATTTGTTGCATTAATAGTTAGATTGTACAGTTTTGTTTCTTCATAATCCAACTCTGTTACTGTACAAAGTTCACCTGAATGAGGATTAATAGTGAATTTTGCTTCTTTGTTTCCAGAAACTATTTCATAATACACAGTGGATTGACTGAAAGCTACCACTGTTGTGACAACAGCACCAGGTTTTTCATTTTCAAACATTTCTGTAACATACTCCGGTCTTTCAAACTTTGGAGCAGAATTATCAGGTACTGTCAGAATGATATGGACAGTAGCAGTGCTGACTTTGGGAACAGTCCCCCCATCAGTTGCTTTGATGGTGAGATAATATTCTCGCATAACTTTTCGACTGAGCTCCTTGGCTACTGAAATAATACCAATTTTGGAGTCCATGGAAAAACTATTTCCTTCATTCCCTATAAAAAAGTAAACAGACTTAACCCACTTAAATTGTCAGTTTAAGGTAGAAACCACAGAGGTCATTAAACAAAAATAATTTTTTTAAGTGCACTAAATATATTCTTTATAAACAAACTGGTTTTATGTTAAACAAATAAGACACTGAAAATGAAAAATAACAGAGTTGTGATTTGCAAATCATTCATAAATAGTTTGGAAAACCATACAACTGGATAAATTAGTTGGAATTATGACCAGTAATTTCAGTTGATACATGTAATGATAGCAATTACAAATTGTTTGAATGCTTAACTTGTTTTAAATTAAATGATAATGGAATGTGAGATACTATGGCACTAAACAAGATGTTAGCATTAATATTAGTTAGTTAACTATCAAATGGATTGAATTATTGCATATCTTACTTAATTTTCAGAATCACAGATATTTGTGTGACTGCACATATGCAAAAGAAGAATACATACTTAAAGCTGCTTGAAGCACAAATTATCAATAACGAAAAAATCAATCAAGTTAACAATTATTTATTTTTTGATATTTATTTAATAAAAATAATGGCACAGTAATTTTACAACACAAAATTGAGTTACATTTGTGAAACTTTGCAATAGTGGCAAGTTTACAAGGTGACTGATGGTTTTAGAAATGTAATCATATAAGTGGTAGAAAATTAAGTTACTTGTGTATAAGTCATATCTTCAGTAAAATTTATTGTTACTATATATAATATCTATCTGTCTTTCTATATATATATATATCTAAAACACGTATACACAAATAGTGTTTTGTGCATTACCTTTGACAATAGCAAAGTTGATTTGTGCATTTTTACCCTCGTCCCGATCTACAGCAAACACTTGCACTACAGAAGTACCAACAGCAGCTGTCTCATGCACCTGGCCTTCAAACTGTGTGGACAGGAACTCTGGTGCATAATCATTATGATCCAGAACATCAACTTGCACTCGGGCAAAGTTACGTTTAGCTGGAGTTCCTCGATCCTTGACCATAATGGTTAGAATATGCTGAGGACATACTTCATGGTCAAGGGCCTTAACAACAGACAGTATGCCTTTATTTGGATCCATATGAAAATATTCAAGGCTTGGTGGACTGGCACTAAAAATTAGAGATAATTCTTTACTTTACAATAACAGTTTCTTGTCTTTCTGTTTGTCCTTTTAAACAAAGCCTAAAAAAAAGGATCTGAAAGAGTCAAAGTTTCATTACTGCTTCAGCTGAAATGTAAAGTTTGACCAAAATGTTCACCAAGTATTCATTTTTAATTACCGTATTTTTCGGAATATAAGACGCACCCTTATTTTGAAGACAAAGTTTTGGGCAAAAAAAAACTACAGTCGCATTCGAAAGATTTTTATTGAACAAAAAT